GTGAGAACTGCCCATATAAAAATGAATGGAATTAACAAATGCTGGAGAGGTTGAGGTGAAAAAGGAACTCTTATCCACTGTTGATGGGAATGTAAGCTGATACAGCCCCCATTGAAAACAGTATGCAGATGTCTCAAGGAAATAAAAATGGAAATTCCATTTGCACTAACAATACCACTGTTATATGTCTATCCAAATAACATGAACAACTGAACATGAAAAGATCTAGCTATACCTATGTGCATAGCAGCACTCTTTACAGTTGTCAAATCATGGAACCAACCCAGGTGCCCTTCAACAGATGAATGGATAGAGTAACTGGTGAATATATTCATTGAGTATTATGTTGCTGTGAGGAAGGTGAAGTGGAGGCATTTAACAGAACATGGATGGACTTTGAAGTGATTATGTTGAGTGAAATCAGCCAAAAGTGATATAGGATGGTTTCATATTTGTGGAATATAAATGCCAAAAAAAACGAATTACATGCAAACAATAAGAGAAATAAAAATCTGACCTTGGCAAAAAGGAGATAATGGTTACCAGAGGAAAAAGGGGGTAGGATATGGAGGCACATGGAGTATGGACATGGGTGGTTTGGTGGAGGCAAGTAAATCACCTTTTTGGAAATGAAAAAAAAAAAAAAAGAATTTAGCAATCATTTGAATGTAGGGAAAAGTAAGAGGCAACAAAAGTGACTGTCTGGATAATTTTTTTTTTGCATCTGGATAATTAAAACGGTGGGAACACTAGCACAGGTCAGAATAAAGAAATCATTTTCTGGAAGAAGATAATTTCAGGTATGTAGTTTGCATGAGGCAATACTTAAAATGCCATTTGAAAGTATGAGTTTGAAGTGCATGCATATTGAATGTCACCTATACTTAATAACTTCTATAAGCATTGTCAGTTCAAAATTGGTAAAACATGATCTGTCCTTATGACAGAGCTTATTATTTGCACTAGGAAAATAAATAGGTATCAAATTGATAATTACTATACAATTAATCCTAGGTAATGTATCAGAGAGGATAGAGAGAGGTCTCTGAGAACTCTGTCTTTAGGCTCACCAAGATCATTTTCAAAATATTTAAATGATGAGTGCAAGCCTGGGGATATTACTCCAGGCATGATTTGGATGTTTTTTAGAAGTAAGGGCTTAATCTAGGGAGAAAAGCAGGGAATTACTGAGAACAAAATCTGAGGGTAAATATATATTTGTCCAGTAGGAAAGAGTTGCCTATTCCAGTGAGTGGGAACGCAGAATCTGATCCCAGGAAATTTAAGATAGATGAAAATTTTGCTTGTGAAAAGAAATTAAGATTGTTTAAAATTGATTAAAGTCCCCTGGACTTAGAAGATCTGAGGTTTTGGGTGAATTTTTAAAAATGTTTTGTTCATATCAGAATGAAATTGGTTCAGATGATGATAATAATAATATTTATGAAAATGGAAGTAGTAAATAGTGGTCTACGAATATACGTGGTATATAAATTAACTTATTTATATATCATATGAAATAGGTTGTACATATTTACAACTAAATATATACTGGAAGCAAATATGAGCAATATTTTCATAAACTTTTTTTTTAAAGCCATACCAAAGAACTGACAGAAAATGGCCTTGAGATAGAAGAGCCATATTAGATATGGCAAGGATTATTGATGATATTTGAAAATAAGTTTTCAAAAGAGTAGTCAGGGTATGATCTAGACAAAGTGCGTGAGAGCAAATTGAAAGAGATGATGGCAGTTCCTGGAAATCCTGAAACACTGACTCCTCCACCCTACATCCTACCCCCTATTATCTGACTTCTACGTTTCCTTCAGTTAGTTATCAACCTAAATGTTCAACCTCAGGCAGACTTTCCTGTTCAACCTTCTCAAGTTAATGAGGTTCTCCATGTTATACTCTAACACTATTCTTTTGCTTCATAGACTCTAACACAATTGGTAATATATTCAATATATATTTGTTCAGTGACTGTCTTCCTCACTAGACTTCAGTTGCATGAGAAAAAGCACCATGAGAATTTGTTTCCCATTGTGCATTCCAACTTCAGCACTGTGTTGGTACATTGTATGCTTTTAATATATATGTTATTAGATGAGACATGTGAAAGATAAGGCGGAGCATTTCCAGGGAAAATTTAATAGAGATTAGAATAGTTATGAGGTGTCAAAATCTAGCATCTCACCCTGTATGTGGACTGCTGCAGTGTCATACAGATTAGTATGTAGGGACATTGAGTTTATACTTTTAGAACAATTAATGCAAATTATTCAACAAGAACAAGGATGTGATGAGGAAGAAAGAATTTGTTTTAAAACAAATCAAAATCAACAAGTGACTATAAACTAGAGACACACTGCGGGGCCAATGAAAAAAGTTTGTCCTCAGCCAATCAAAAATGGCTCTTATGGAAGAGGGATTAGGGTCAAAATAAGGGGGGTTGGAATTATATGGGGAATATAACCAAGATGAAAATGCATACATTGTGCAAAAATGAAAAATGATGTAAAAATATATAAAATAAAATAAATGTAAATTATCAAAAAAATAAAACAGATAAAGTGGACGAAGATAAAGTAGACAGGATAGACTTTAAAAATGAGAGCTGTAGGGGGCTCCCTGGTGGCACAAGGGGTTAAACACAACACTGTGAAGCTATCCACAGCCACTGCAGTACGAGTTCCATTCCTGGCCAGGTAGCTGACCCACATGGCCCAGCAGACCTCTCCTGTCTCCGCACTGCTCCCCTCAGCAGTGTATTTCAGTACATTTTCCTGCTCTGTTCCCCATTCTATCTCTGGTGAATCCTCTCACCCTCCACACCTCTGGTTTGTATGCCAGTTATTGTATGCATAAATAAATAAATCTTTAAAAAATGAGAGGTGTGAGGGCCTCCCCGGTGGCGCAGCGGTTGAGCGCTGGGTTGCGAAGCTGCCCGCAGCCTCTGCAGCGCCGGTTCAATCCCCGGCTGCTCCCAGGCCACTGGAGGAGGGTCCCACATGGCGCGCAGACCTCTCCTGCCGCCCGCTGCTCCCCTCAGCAGTGTACTTCTGCCTGCTCTGCTCTCCACTCTGGCTCTGGTGAATTCTCTCACCCTCCCGCGCTTCTGACTATACCCAGTGCTTGTATAAATAAATAAATAAATCTTAAAAAAAAAAGAGGTGTGAAAAATGGATTTTGAAAGCAGTAAGATGTATAGTGTCTGTTCATCCTTATATGAGCCGGGAGTTAAGAGGAAGCGGAGTGTGGAACACCATGAGTAGTAAATACATAGGAATCATAAGTTGCAATGTGACAGGACTAATAAGGGGAAGACAGAGGGACAGCTGAACTATTTTACAGTGTTGTTAACGGCAGTGTCTGTGTTTAACAAATATTAATTGATTAATGAATTGTTCATTGAAAATTCATCACTAATTTCTAAATAAGCATCAGTAAGCAACCCAAAATTTAGTAATGGGGCGAGCAACCAGACTTTTTATAATCTGATGAATTGGAATACAATGACATGTAAGTATATTTATATTAGTCTAAATATTTTTTACTAAAACTGTTTTCTTGTATTCGTTAATGTTCTCAATGATACAGATTCCTTACACCATACATAACCACGTGGTTTCCACTTCCCAGAGATTCTTGGTTCTGATAAAATAGAAGTTATTTTGCCTCATATTTAGAAATAACTAATCCTGGCTTAATGAGCTTTTTTTAATGGTCTTCAAAATATGATTATGAATAAGTACTTTTAGTTATATATAAGTTTTTTTTTTTTTTAGTTTAGTCAGTATTGTGAAACTTTCATGCAGCTGTAAATACCTTGACTTCCCACGGCAGTTCAGGTCTGCTTGTGACCATGTTGTAGTGTGGGCTTCTAAGGTGGACTGGAGTTAAGGGTGCTGTCTTTGGCTATGAAAAAAGTTGTCTATTTGTCCTCAGCCAATCAAAAATGGCTCTTATGTGAGTCAAATGAGAGTTGTTGACCTTATTCACACTGATTTACTCCTGAGTGTTTTGCCACACATCACCTGCTGTTTTGTTTTTCTATATCCATTCGGAATTAAGAATCATAGTGCTCTGTGATATCCTTGCCAATAGTCATACATTAAAACATACCTCTTCCCATAATGTCTTATTTCTTTTTAATTTTTTAAGTTTTTCTTTTTTTTTTTTTCTTAATGATTGTGAGCATCACAGAAGTCTACCAGGTGTACAGAGATATGATCACCTGGCTAATTACAGGATAACTTACTTGTGAATGTGAAATGTGCTGAAAATATTACTATAACAAAATCTGTTCAGGCTTCAGTTGATTATTACTAATACTCCTGACTCAAAACACCTAGTGAGTTAATTCTTGGTAATGTAAGAATGTGCTAATGTGGGAGAATCTACTTAACTGCTGTAAAATTTTGCATGTGTGAATAGTTATTACCAAGGTGGAAAGAAAAGAGAAAGTTTCTGCTTTTATCTGTACTTATGCTCATTACTTTAAGTTTTTTTTTTTTTTTTTTAGTTTTCTTAGTACCCGTGAATAATGATAACTAGAGTTGTTGCCTTTTAATTTTCTTCAGTAAAATTCCATCTTTACCCCCTCCGATAAATAAATTATTATTATGTATCTAGGACAACTCTGATTTGTCTTTGAATGAGTCAAAACTGTGAGAATTGTGTGAGTAAATGTTAGTGTTAAGAATCAGATAATTTGAAGATTGATCACCAGATCCTCATAATCTAGGATACAGTCAGAGCATGAATTTGATTCAGTATTTCCCCTGTCAACACGGGTATAAACTGCTTATTTTTTTGGTTATCTTTTAGTCTGGTAGAAATTTGTTATCTTTTCTTGCCTAAATCTGAATGTGGAGGAGGAAGAGATTGAAGTTCGAAAAGCATAAATATGCTTCCTCCAGAATGTCAGAAGTTAGCTGTTAACTTTGATTGGGGTGAGACTGACAGTGCACTGACCTTGAGCTCTCTCTTCACAGTGGGTAAACCTCACAAGTGCAACTACTGTGGACGAAGCTACAAGCAGCGCAGTTCACTGGAGGAGCACAAGGAGCGCTGCCACAACTATCTCCAGAATGTCAGCATGGAGGCTGCTGGGCAGGTCATGAGTCACCATGGTGGGTAAAAATGGCATTCAGCCCTCTACTGCTTTTATAATTTCTGGCTTAGAGAGTTCTTACCACCCTTCAGCATAAAGATAAAATCTCACTCTTTAAAACAATTTTAAAACAGATATCATTAACTTTGTGTGGGATTATCTTCTTAAGCATTTGAAAGAAGTAAAGCTTTGAGATATTTTGCAAACAAGCTATGTTGCGTTTTTTTTTTTTTGTGCTACTCTCCAATTATTTCTTTTAACACCTGTCTGAATTAACATAATTAGCCTAATCATAAGGCAGTTGATCTTGAATACAATAAAGGAAGGAAATGTTTTCTCTTTCATCTGCTGCACCAAATAATTAAAGATGGTTCCACATAAATCAATAGGTTCACTAGAAGAATTAATTGGTTATTTGTGTATTTTCAGCTCTCTTAGGTAAACGATAGTAATGCAATTGGAAAAAACTGATTCGCTTACTACAAGTGTGGGGAACACGATTAGGCACACCGCTTTCTCCACAAAAAGCAAAACATCCACATCTTCTCAATACATAGTAGCAGGTGGGCAGGCAGTCCCGATCAATCTGTAATTCTCTTATTAATGTTAGTAAATCAGCCTTATAACGGAGAGTTATGAATTTCAGTTCCTTAAATTTCTCTCTTGTCCTACTAATTTTATTTTTATACTGGCTGATTTAATTATTAATAAAAATACATACAAAATCATAGTGTATTAATACATTTATATCTTTCATTAAAAAAAGTTTGACTAATATTGCCAAATATAGTATGGAATGCTATAGTCACAGTTTTATTGAAGTAACATTTGTTTATGACATTAGTTTTATATCACTATAAATCAACATCTGTATTTATTAAATTCACCAGCAAAAGTCTAGTTTCTAGTCACTTTAAAAATAAAACTATCCACCTAGTGATTTACAGGTACAGACAGTTCATGATTATTTGTCGAGTTTTTGTTTCATAGACTACATACTATATAGAACATGATGTGATTATTTGTTGTTGTATTGTGATTTTTTTTATTTAAAGCATTTCTTTTATTATCCCGAGTGATCTAAGCATTTCTTTGTAATGAAGGTAATTTATATACTCTAAAAAAATAGATTTCATTTATCATTGTGAATCCATTTAGCTTTATTATTAAAATTGTTATCTAATATTTGTTAAAAACCTGTCTGTTTCTTAAATCTTGGTAAGTTTGGTATTATACGTTTGATTATTAGGACTTTTGAGGATAGTACTGAATCTAGAGCAGAGGGGTTAAAATGGTGAATCCTGGTCTCCAATAAAACTACTCTGCTGTGTCACTCATAGACTTGATGTGAGAATTTAATGTGTTTGGAAGTATAATAAATACCCAATAAATAGCCCTTTTTACTATTACATTTCTGGGAATTAAATATTAAGGAATAGTAAATTTTCCATTGTTCTTAGCATTAACTTTGGAATTTGAGATTTCTTTTGCCTACAACACACTCTGTGATTAAATTGTGGTTTTTTTTGGAGGTAGTTTGAGGCAGGGAAACCTATGGATGCTGTAGGCACATGCCAAAGTTTTCCAAAGACATCTTAGGGCATCACTACTAGTTTTTCCACATAATGTTCTCTCCTTGCTGTTTTTATTTTTTTTTTTTTTTTTTTAATAGAGGCACGTTTTATTTATTTATTTATTTGTTTGTTTGTTTTGTTTATACATGCACTGGGTACAGTCAGAAGCGCGGGAGGGTGAGAGAATTCACCAGAGCCAGAGCGGGGAGCAGAGCAGGCAGAAGGACCGAAGTACACTGCTGAGGGGAGCAGCGGGCGGCAGGAGAGGTCTGCGCGCCATGTGGGACCCTCCTCCGGTGGCCGGGGAGCAGCCGGGGATCGAACCGGCGCCGCAGAGGCTGCGGGCATCTTTGCAACCCAGCGCTCAACCGCTGCGCCACCGGGGAGGCCCTCCTTGCTGTTTTTACATTTGATTAATTCTGTTAATTCCTTTTCCCATTCACAGTTAATCATGAAACTCTATGCATACTTACCTGAATAAGAAATAAAGTCTCTCCTAAAAGACTTTATGTTGTTATAGGTAGGTAAGGTTTACATACATATAATCAATGTTTAATTATCTTTTGGAAGATTAACCAGTTGTAGATTAACTACTAACAAAAAATTTAAATAGGTAAATTTTTACTCAAACCATGACAAGGACAGGGACCTTTACAAATGGCACTGAAGCTGGACTAGAGCAGGGGAAAGTGGAATAAACACCCAATCCTGGGCAACAGGGGCAGAGCCAAGGCAGAGCAGTGATATGTTTTGATATCATTTACAGGCCCAAATATTTGTTCTTAAATATCATATGTAGTTTTAACCAGATAAGTTTACCTTAATGCTAACACTTCATGCTCTGCTTTTCCTACGTGTGTACTACTAATAATTTGAGATTATCCTTAATCTCCTTTCCTTTTGTTAAAACTCTTTTTTTTTTAATTTTATTTTATATATTTTACATCATTTTTTTTTGCACAATATTTTCATCTTGGTGATAGTCCCCATACAATCCCCGCCCCCTTGTTTTAAAGACGGGGCTTCCATATGATCCAGCAATTCCTTTTGTTAAAATTCTTAATGGGAAATTCACCATATGAGGTATGAATTGATCAATGCCATGAGAAAAACATGGATCAGATGCTGCTAGAGTTCATATTTACCTTGTCCCATACACATGCACACAGTGAAATTCTTATCTATCCCTTTCCCTCTATATCCTGTTACATCTGGGTTTTGTTTTTTTTCTTTTTTCTTTTAGTGGTAGGTGTGGGAGTTATCTTTGGGGTTGCTATTAGCAATGTGAATTAATTACTATTCTTTTTTTCTTTTTCACATATGCCAAAATTACATTTTCTAGCCTCTCCTTCACAAAACTCTTCCCTTTGTTGGCTCTTTTAACAAGGAGGTGTCTGATTCCAGGAGGCTTTCTTTCACTTCAGGGCACATTTATTAAGGTCTTGCTGTATGCCAAATTCTGTGGTATATTGTGGGGCAATAAAGATAAATTGACACAATTTCATTCTTATACTTATAGCCTGGTAGTAACTTACATACTTAAGACAAATTGACGCAAGTGCTCTAACAAATGTGTCTATACAATTCTCTGGTAGCACTGATGAGAATGATCTATCTGGAAAAGTCAAAGAAAACTTCGCATATGCAGTGTTTGAGCTGTACATAAGAATAAAAAAAAATTGCTTAGATTGGGCCAATGCACAGAGAACATGTGTTCAAGAGAAACTGCCATAGGCTAAGGTTTGGGGACATAAAATAACATTAACAACAGATTCCAAGACATTGAATATAGTTTGGAGGTAAAGGGGTGGCAGAAAATGAAACTGAACTCGTAGAGTGTGATGCATACTAGAGCCTTTTGTGATAATCCAATCTTTGAATTTCACTGGTTTGATCAAATGTGTGTCTTCTAAAGAAAAGTGTAGTCCCCAGTGTAGACTTTAGGTAGATACCTGATGGGTTTGAGGAAGGGTGGTGAAAGGACAAGAGAAAAGGATAGAAAACTGAATATATATTTAGGAGGAGAATGAAAAGTTCTTGAGTTTTATGACAAGGGAGGGAATTCATCATGTGTAATTTTGGAAAAAAAAGATAATAAAGTGGACTTTATGGCAGATTATCTTATTTGAATGTTATCTTTATCAGATTGAAGAAAAAAATATCAAAACCAAAGGTGTAATTATCTTTTCCCTTAATTGGAAGATAAAATGAAAGTGTGAACAAAAAAAGATAGCCAACATTAAAGCAAGAAAACATATATATTCTTTAGTTTATGCTTTGAACTTGTTGGCAGTTTATTTGTAATAAACTATAAATGTAATAAACTGTAAATAAATTTGTAAATGTTCTAGTAAACTTTGTCAACCTGTTGGGTGAAACATTTTCTTCATAAAAACATTCAGTAAACATCCACTGAATATTACATCTGTCTCTCATCATAAAAGTTATTAAAGGCAAAAAATCAGTGCTTACCCTAAGGTTCAGTGCTTATACCCTTATCAATTATTGGAAGAAATATAGTAAACCAAGAGCTAGAGCATCGTGTGATAAGAATTATGAGGGCACAGAAGATAGATATCCAAACCACTCTGGGTGTCCAAGAAGAATTTTTAGGGTAGTTATGGTTTCAGTGGCACTTTAAAAGGCAAAATAGCTAGCTAAATAAGTGGAGAAGGGTATTTCATGCAGAGACAATAGCAAGTGTCAAAAAATAGAAGTTTAAAAGAGGAGAGTGGGTTAAGGACCCACAAGCTGCTGTGTATAGTTAGAGTCTAGTTTGTAAGGGCAAGCAAAATCAGAAGGTTGATAAAGTGAGAGAAACAGACTGTGAACAAATCATCAAGGGCATATTAGACTAAGCAAATAATTTAATATTTTAGCCTAAAAACATTATTACATTGATATAGTACTGCTAGAAATGTGGGAGGTAAATCAGAAGAATCAGAACATATGCAGTAGACTATCACAGCAATCTCCTGATTGGTCGAATTGAATATAGTTGCCTCAAATATGCAGAAATGTTAAGTGACTGGAAACTATGGATGTAGAATTTTAAACACTTGACAACTCCATGTGTGTATATTAGGAAAAGGAATGGGGAGAAGGAAGTCAGACGTCTGGGTGAAAGGAAGAAATGTAGGATTTGTTAGTTGTCTAGTATGAATGACCCGATATGTAGTAGTACCAGTCACTGAGATGAGTAGTAGAAAAATAGAAATTTCAGTTTTTGAACATAATATCTTTTAGGTACCTGTGAGAGACAGCCAAGTGAAACTGGGAGGAAGCTGAATGCATAGATCTCAAGTTCTCAAGAGAGTTTTGGATAGGAAATAAAGTTGTGGGACCAATCAATATATAGATAATAACCTGAAGTAAAAGGTTTTATAAGGTTATGTGGGTAAGTCTAGAGTGAGACATCTAGAAGGCAAAGAAAATACAAGGAAAAAAAAGCCATGAAGATGAGTAAGAGCAGAAGGTGGGAAAATGGAAAGAGTAATTTCACAGAAGCCAAAGCAAATGTCAGCACTGTCTGGTGTTGTCAGGAAAATTACTAAGACGAATAGGTTTTTTTAGATTCGACAGTATGGAAGAAATTTGTGAAGACATCTGTTGTTTTGTCTACTCTACATACCTTTCTCCTTTTGATAACAAAACTTCCATTTCCCCTTAGAGTATTGTCTCCCAGTTAGTGAAGCCCTTGGTGGGACTCATTCTAGGTGTTCTGCCCTCTTTTGGCTAGCAGGTAGACATGTGACCTAAGCTAAGTCCCCAAATTATCTTGGAATTTGAGTTTTGAGTGGATTGTCTAGTAAAAATAGCTATGCTGAGAGAAATTTCTCTCTTTATGGATTATCAATGTGATGAGATAATGAAATAATGTAAGTATATATTTCTCCCATTATGATTTCAAAAGTAAGTTCCAGAAAGATACTTCCAGGTTAGGAAGTGCTCTAACTGGTGAAATTAGCATATTGATATTTTCTTAATCTAGATAAATGGCTCACTATGTGACTGATGTGTTTTTGAGTTAGTGATTTTCTTTTGTGTTTCAAGGAATATATATGCAGAAACATTTTGACGCATTGTACCCAGACTTATGAAAGCAAAATTTAAGATCAGTTACATATTTCAGAAGTGTATTAGATCGTTTCCCAATGGTAGACCTAATACATATGTCAAACATGCTTATAAAAAGTCAACACAAACTAGTGTCTACAAATAATAGTATACAACAGGATCTGGAGTCATATCAACATGATTCAACACTATTCCCTGATAAATAGATATAAACCCTAAATCAATAAACATCTCTGTCTTCGTTTTCCCCATTTGTAAAATGGAGATGGTAACAGTACCTATCTCAGGTAGTTTTTAGAAGAATTAAATGAATTATTAAAAATGTACCATCCTACAACAGTGCTTATCACAGGGTACACATCAGTTATTATTATTTTTTGCTGATATGGTAGCAACGAGATCAATATTTGATATATCAAGGGCTGTTGTAAAGCAGAAGTTAGACCAGAGCTCTGCCGAAGTCATTGTTTTCAGTTCACATGAGCTTCATTGAACTTGGGACAAATCATCTGAATTGAGGTGGATGTGGTATGGGACCGTTCCCACACCCAGGTTTCGTTTTGAGTGTTAATTGTGTGCAAATATGAAAATTCAAGGTGAGACTTAGAACAAAACTGCCAAGTTTTGGACTGTTCATTTCAAAACTAATTAGTATATTCAATTCTGGGGGCAAACCCCGTTTTTAGCAAAATTTACAACAAACTTTTTTTCTTTCCTTCTTTCATTTTGGATCTTGGATTGTGATCTGTATCTAATTCAATGGTTCCTCGCCACATCACTAGTGCCATTCGACCTTTCTAGTCCCGCCCTTAGTTGAATTCTGTGGTCATCTCTGCCTTTCTTTTTAAGTACATATTTTTAAATTTCAGTTGTTGTTGAAAAAAATTATGTTTTTGTAATGTTTCAGGGCATACTTTTTGCACTTGATAGTATCATGAATTATATCTCTATAGGAAATAAACTCAATGTTTTCCTTGTTTCTGAATCCCATCTTGGAATTTTTTTTTCCAAATTAATATCCAACAATTACAGAATCCCTTACCATTTACAGCCAGACGACCATTTATAAAACAGGAACTAAAGACTAATTTTTTTTTTTCTGGCCCATCCACTACTAAGTTAAATACACAAGTTAGTTATTCATTGTGTCTGCCATAGGTCATCCTACAAATTCTACTGAATGTCAGTGTTTTAAAAACATGTCCAAATCAGGAAAACCTTTCTGATACAATTTTTTGTTGTCTTCAAAATTGGCAACCTATATTAGTTATTAAGTAGGTCATCTGAATTGTGTACTGAATTTTAACTTTTGTCTCTTGCTTTCTCACTTTATTTTAGTGTCCATTCTTATAAAAGAGAATGCGTAAGTTAAAAGAGCAGAAGAAATCATTTTATATTGCATGCTGAGCAAGTCAAACTCTCCTAAGATAGGAAACCATTAGGCTTCAAAACTACTGGCACAGTGGAATTGGAGAAAGCAACAATAATCAAGAAGTTATATGTTAAGATCTTTCCTGTCAACACTGGTTTTAATCAGCTGACCTGATGTGTCTCAGTAGTTTCTCTACCCTTAAACATCCTGTGACAGTAATTTTATTCAGAAATAACTTTTGTAACTTCTTTGTCTACACTATTAATGTCAATATCTAATATCAGTATCTATAAACTAATACATTAACCCATGGAACTTAGGCAAAAGAAACAAAGAGGGAGCCTCATTGGAGAGATTATGTCAAATGAATTGGAACAGTAGTTTAGTGAGCAAATATGCTAATTAGGAAAACCTTGGATTTGGAATCCAATTTAGAAAAGAGCAGGATTCTTTTATCCTGCTAAAGAACTGTTTTTAAAATAAATTATAGCTGTAAAGCTGCTACCCTTTCCATATTCAGAATTGGATCGCTTTGTGCAGGTATTAGCTACTGCCAGTAGGACTAACAGCTTACTCAACTCATCAAATAGGAAATCTGCTCCAGAAAAATAGATGGGTGAAAAAAAAATGGTTAAATATTATGCTGTAATCATGTGTGTCTGCTTAAGCTTTCCTCCAACACAAGGTGACTGACTTAAATTGTTTTAGAAAAATAGACTCCAAGAGCTTTGAGAATAGTGCAGTCTTAAAGTAGTATTGATTTTAATCAATGTTAAAAACACTTTCAGAGGAATGAGATGAGAAACAAGATGAACGTGTTTGCTACCAATAATCACAACAGTTTGTATGTTTCATCTGAGAGAGACTCGGATAACAACAAATCCTGTGTATCTGTGTGTATATAAAATTAGTAGTGCATTTTTATATCAGAGGTTATTCGTTCTACTTGCTTGCATTCACATATACTATTTAATGTTTGTGTCACACATATTGTGATGGAAAGTCCAGCTTTATCTCTCTTAAAATGTTGAAGAAATTATCAAATTGCTCTTTTTCCATGGTTTTCTATAGTACCTCCTATGGAAGATTGTAAGGAACAAGAGCCTATTATGGACAACAATATTTCGCTGGTGCCTTTTGAGAGACCTGCTGTTATAGAGAAGCTCGCGGGGAATATGGGAAAACGTAAAAGCTCCACTCCACAAAAGTTTGTGGGTAAGCATTACAGATGCTTTTATTTCTTTTAAAAGGTGATTTTAATGAGTAAAGGCATATTCTCATGTATGAAATATATATATAATATATATGTGGTAGAGTTCAGTTTATGAAGTAAAGACCCATCTTTGCTCCATTTTTGTCTATGCCAATGCACGTGCATCACACACACAAACACACACCTACACACAAATACACACCTATCCTTAGGCATGGATAGGTCTAAAAAAGAGAAATAAAGGAAGGCTGATAGTAGTAAGTTGCTATCTCTAGATGAAATGATATATGAAGTGAAATAGCTTGTAAAAGTAAAATGCTCAGGTATTTAAATAATAATACTTACGGGAAATGGTGTAGACTATAAGCCAGTTTTGTAATCTATTTTTGATTTGCTATAGTGCCAGGTTTTTAAACTGTTTTCCCTATGTAATATTAATGCTTTTACTATTTGACCTAGAATGAAGAGAAATCTTTTTCTTTTCTCCAAAGCTCTGCATGAGAAAAATATTTCTCAACCTACATTCAAGATGTTTCATATTTGGATCTGTAGTTTATATTTTGAGCTTTTTTTTTTTTTCATCCAGCCTATGATTTTGAACCAAGAAGATTAAGTATATATTTAGACCCTTTTTCATCCCCTATCCCTTTGATATTCTTTGGTACACTCAGATTTGGCATCAGTCAGCATACTGTAAGTCCTAAATTGTCTCTGAAGATATAAAAAGCATCTTTTTAGGATAGAATGCATGAAAAGTAGAGATTCTCCATAAATTATTGTCATTAATTGTATGTGTGTTTATAATTACAGAATTTGTATTAGGTAAATATTAGAAGAGATACTACCAGTATGTATGTATGTATGATGAGTATGTAGAACATCCTGATGTGGGTTGAGTGGTGTTTGGGAGAAAATCTTCTGTTTGGTTATTTCAAGGAGGAGAAGATACTTCTGTTACTCTAGAGATTTCTTTTCGATGTAAAATTGATGAATTCACAAATGACCAAAATATCACCTTAAGACTAGGTGGAGATATTAGTGACAGAGCTCATTGAAAGAAAGCTAAAGGATAGTTGTAAGGATCATAGTTCAGACTAGGACAGCCTAAAAGTCCTGGGAGTATACTCAAAGACCTTCCTTCAGCCCTAGGTAATATATCTTTTTTTTTTCATTTTTTTTTAAATAATTATCTGTTTTTACTCTCAGTTCATCTAACTTTAACATTGATTAACGAATGTCCATTAACTGTCTATATAATCAACCAAATAGTACTTAGGAAACAAATTATTATGCTTTCTGTCTTCGGAATTTAGGTTGTTCTGCTCTGTAATATTTTGATTTTTTTTTGTGATGTAGAGATGCTACTCTCGACTGACAGATTTTTTAAATAATCATATGGTCTTAAATGAATGGCATTAGATTTTTATTAAGAATTTGATAACACTATTTCTTTGTTTAGATTTTATCCTGTCAGTAATACCAATCCTACAGGAACTGTTTCTATGATGTCTTTTGAAATGAAGAATTCCATCTTGATACACTTAACTATAATTCCTTTTTATTTTGTCCTTCAAGTTAAATAGTATTATTCAACCTTCTCACACACTCCAGGCCAATGAACTTTTTAAATTAGTCTCCTCCTTTCTTTTCTTATACAGCTTAAATCTCATGGTTCACCACTTTGCCACTCTTCTAAGATTCTTGATGCCCTTGCCTTGGTTCCTGTTACCTTCTCTTAGTGAACCCCACTCTATTGCAGCCAGCTAAGCTTCTCTTCCATATCTATACATGCTAGAACTTTTGGAGAAAAACCCCAGCTTTATACAGATTGGTGTCACTATAAATGAATAACTGATCTCAAATATCAGTTGTCCATTCCTCCTTTAATACATCCCTGAATCATCTTCTCTCCTGCTCACCATGTGGCCATGTCAGTCTTTCTTTACTTCCTGCAAACATGACCAAGAAATGAGATTCCTTGATGATATGTCTAGATTCAGAGAGTGAAAAACAGCTAAAATGATTACGGTGCAATATCATTAACTCTATAGGATTGTGTGCCTCCATGTGAATATTTTCTTCTTTTTTCTCTGTTTCTATGAAAGAAGTATCTCTGTTTCTGAGTAAGTGTAATCCTTCTTCTTATGATCTGGAATTTTCATATCCCGGCCTCCCCAAATACCTTACACTATCATTTTTTCTCTTTTTTAAATTGTTTTTTCAACTTCTCCCCTCTAATTGGCATTTTACTTTCAGCATTTATTATGATAAACACTCAGCATTTAAAAAACCTTTCAAAATCAAGTCTCCTTCTAGCTATTACCTACTTTCTCCTTTGCTTCAGAGATGGAGTTGTTAAAGTTTCCTATGCTTACTTTCTCTAATTTATTTCTTTCCACACATTCCCCAGTTTTGCAATTGGCTTTTTCTTCCTTATGCTCTACTGAAATTGTCCTCATTTAAGTCAGAACTAGCTTCAAAATTACCAAATCCAGTAGCTCCATTTTAGATTATCATACACAAGTTCTGGAGAGCATTTGTCACTACTGGATCATCCATTCTATTTGAAACACTCTTCCTTTGGTTTCTATGACATTGACCTTTCTTGCATTTCTTCCAGCTTTTCTGACTTCTCTTTCTCTGTCTTCTTTAAGGATTTACCCCAAGTAGCCACTATGCAAATGGGGCAAAAGTACTCAGGGAGCTCTCCATTCATATGCTTAAATATGTTGTCATTATAAGTTAAATGAACAAGCTGTTATATTTTACCTTCCTAACTTGGAAGAATGAGTCTGAATAAATATATAATGCTCAGATTCTTCTGAGACCTTGTCAGCATGATCAGAACCATTTCCTGGCCTGCAGTCAGGCCCCACTTTTAGCCCCATGTTTCTATGGTCTGTTCAGTGCCAAAAGGTGTATAAACACCTCAGTTTGCACATCCAAATCTTCACATTGCACATGCATATCACAAGGTCCAAGTGTGCTTATCAGCAGCACAACTGGTTCTTAGAAGGATAGACCCATGAAGAAGACTATGCTGACCTTGTCACAAACTCAGAGCCATTTAGGCAAGGAATTCTGGGATCTGAGTACCCAGAGTATAATCTAAGGAATAAGCTTCAGATAGGCACATTCCTTTGGCCCTACACATTCCTCATTCCATGAAGAGCAAGGCCCGTTTTCTCAAAACATGCAGCCCAGTCAGTGCAGGAATGCCTTGGTCTTTGGGCAGACATAAAAATCTTGGGTGTTGCTGCAGGTTTTGTTTTTGATCCTCTGCTCTTCACACTTTACCTAATGTCTGGCTGATACTATCTACTCCCTTCAGAAGTTGCTGTCTATCAGCTGATGATTCTCATATCTTTATCTCATCTTTCATACGTCAGATCTCTCTCCTGAGTTTGAGACTATATCTCAGTACTTACTGGACATGTCTGTTACTCATAGTTCTTCCTCAAACTAAATTCATCATCTTTTCTATCTCTTTACCATCCACTAAGTTTCTCAGACCAGAAACTTGGGTTTCACACTTCTTTCTCTGTCTCATTCTTCATGTCTAGATAATCATCAAACCCTATAAAGGGGTGATATAAAATGAGCAATTTAGAGAACTGTATTCTTTAAATTTCTTTCTATGCCATTAACTTTTCTCCATTTCCACTGTCATTGTACTAGTTAAGGCCTCCAAATCTTTACAGCTCCAATTTCCTAAATAGTCTTGCTAAATACATACCTAGTCAAGTCACTTCCCTGTTTAACCCCTTTAGTCCTTATTACCCTCAGGATCAAATTCAAATTCCTTAGCTGTTGAATGAGCCATATGTTACCTGAATTTATTCTCTCACCTTTTCCACTCTCAGTCACATGGAAGCATAAGTAATAGCTTAAATAAAGCCATGCCCTCTTGCCTTTGAGCTCTCCTGCTTAGCTGTTCCACCTATGCATTACTTCATTTGGCTAATATTTGCCATCACTTTCTTTCTCTGATGCTAATTCCTTTAAGAAGTCTTCCTTTACTCCAAAATAAGTCACATATTCTTATTTGACCCCCATATCACATATCACACTACAATATATGATCCCTAAATTGTCACCACGCCCTCTAAATTGTAAACAGCTTGAGAAGGTAGATTAGGCATGTCTAACTTAACTTTGAAACACTTGACATTGCAATATCTTAAATTGAATACCCTGAGATAACATCTTTACATTACTTTGATCTCACTTTGGGACTCTTTCTTCAAATCTGAAATAATACTATCTACTTGAAAGTACTTTTTCCATAATGCAGCTCCAGCAGATCAACATTTCCTATCCAATATTGTAAGTTGGGCATCTACCCATAACATATTAAACCATTTGTAAGAAATCTATTTATATTTTCAATGAATATTTATATATAAGATTTATCTGTTTGAGTATCTAGATAATTGTTTCAGTGCAATTTTTTTTAAAAGATAAAATATTCTATCCAAATTACATTTGGATATAATACTGGCAGTATTTGAAGAAAAAAATTAAAATTATTTCTCCAGTTTTACCCACCAAAACTCTTACACAGTTAATGATTAGATATTATGTTGAAGTAAAATACTGAAGTAAAATTAAATTTGTTGATGTAAATATTAAAGGGATAAATGCACACATCCTGCATGGAAAACTAATAATGGTTATTTATATCAGCACCATCCAAATAAGAAAGGGGTAATATAAAATGAGCAAATAACCATTTCAAAAAGCAAAAACAATGAAGTTTAACATTTCCCAAGCTCATAAGCAAGGTCTTTTGGGGGAAAAAACCTCCTCAAATAGCCCTAAATTTTGTTTATCAGACTATATAGCTTTTAGTGGTGTTTTAATAGTAACTTAATATAATAGTAATCATTTTGAATCCTCCATAATGACATGTATTGGCTCTGTAAGGTTTTTCTAATATAACAGTTACTCAACTAAATTAACCCTACACAACGGATGCTGTGACAGAAGTGATAACAGATCATTTGTGCTTTTGTGACTTTGTAGCTTGTTTAAAATATGCAAAAGCAAACATTGGCTCTGATTTACTCTCAGCAGATATTTCTTTTTCCCACTGTAGTCACTGAGCTCTAGACACATGGAAATTTTAATAGAGGATGAAAATAAGATAACCATATCTTTCAGTATAGATGTATTTTCATAGTGACATTAGAACAAATACAAATGGCTTGTGAAGTTTTTATTACTAATCCTTTTCACAGGTTAAGAGTGTAAGTCTTAACAGAATTGAAAATTCCAAATGTTTAATCTAAAGTATAAGATATGCCATATAATGTAAAGTGGAGGTGATCATTTTGTACTTTTATATTTGTGATCCGATCACCAGTCTTATGCATTCTTTTTTTTTTTTTTTTTTTTAATTTTCCTCTCACTTGACTTTTCAGGGGAAAAGCTCATGCGATTCAGCTACCCAGACATTCACTTTGATATGAACTTAACATATGAGAAGGAGGCTGAGCTGATGCAGTCTCATATGATGGACCAAGCCATCAACAATGCAATCACCTACCTTGGAGCTGAGGCCCTTCACCCTCTGATGCAGCACCCGCCAAGCACAATCGCTGAGGTGGCCCCAGTTATAAGCTCAGCTTATTCTCAGGTCTATCATCCAAATAGGATAGAAAGACCCATTAGCAGGGAAACCTCTGATAGTCACGAAAACAACATGGATGGCCCTATCTCTCTCATCAGACCAAAGAGTCGACCCCAGGAAAGAGAGGCCTCTCCCAGCAATAGCTGCCTGGATTCTACTGACTCAGAAAGCAGCCATGATGACCACCAGTCCTACCAAGGAAACCCTGCCTTAAATCCCAAGAGGAAACAAAGCCCAGCTTACATAAAGGAGGATGTCAAGGCTTTGGATACCACCAAGGCGCCTAAGGGCTCTCTGAAGGACATCTACAAGGTCTTCAATGGAGAAGGAGAACAGATTAGGGCCTTCAAGTGTGAGCACTGCCGAGTCCTTTTCCTAGACCATGTCATGTATACCATTCATATGGGTTGCCATGGCTACCGGGACCCACTGGAATGCAACATCTGTGGCTACAGAAGCCAGGACCGTTACGAGTTTTCATCACATATTGTTCGAGGGGAGCACACATTCCACTAGGCCTTTTCATTCCAAAGGGGACCCCTATGAAGTAAAGAACTGCACATGAAGAAATACTGCACTTACAATCCCACCTGCCCTCAGATGTTGACATACCTTTTATTTTTTTTAATATTATTACTGTCATTAATTCTTATTTTGTGGACGCAGTGTCATTTGCTCTGCCTAATTATAGTAAGGAAGAAACAGAAGAGAGAAGGGACGGGATTTTGTTTCTTGATAACTTGGCTTGTTTATTTTGTGGGAATTTAAGAGCAGTTCATTTCTGCCATGCATAGATAATAAGGCATATCATGCTTTGGGAAAAAAAAATCACTTGATTCATACAGATTCACCTAAGAGATTCTAATTTGCCACTGATGTTCAGGGTGATTGCAGGCAGGAAAATTTAGAATTTTCTGGGTGGGACTTTCACAGTTTAAAAAGGTGTAAGTAATTTTACTCTTCAAAGAAGAATTTGTTTCAAAGTGTAAACTTTTTTTTTAATCCTCTAGAAATCATGGAACACAAAAACATTGCTATTTTCAGTGATAACTCCTCGAATGAGTTGTTGTGGGTTCTATGTTTACTTTCCCTATGGAATTTATAATAAGGTATGTTATACACTGTACCATAGAGCAGACTTTTAAACTACAGGTAGTTAAGGGCACCTACGATACATCTGAGGTCCTCTGATGTTATTTTTCTAAACTTAAGCACTGTTTTTCCATAGTTTTGATGACTGGCATTTTATAGACACCCTGGCAGCCTTACTTTTAACACCTTTAATGGATAGTATTTTTATCTAGTTTTCAGAATAACATATGGTCTAAGAGTGGCTAAGAGGCAGTCAATAGTTTCCAGAAGGGACCTCTACTTTTCATAAATTTGCTTGGGAAGTTTTCTTTTAAAGTTGTAATATGATGGCAGCATAGTATATGTATTTGTTTCTAAAAGTATGATTGTCACTTTATCAGCATTTAATCAGTGTTAACCAGTCAGCAGAAAAATATAATTAGGCTAACAGTAGGGGGAAAACCCACTCAGAAATCCCTTTTCTGGTATTTCTCTTTTCACTGGTTTTTTTTCAAGCTGTGACCACCCAGTGTTCTGTCCATCGTCCATCATCTTTTACTCTTCCAGTGGAAGTTTTTTTTAAAAAGAAAAAATCTTGCTATAGGCTATTATTACTTTCAAAATCTTCTCGGTGCAATTGCTAATTTGATCTGAAAATGTGGTAACTTGAACCCTGAAAGAATATGGAAGTAGGGCTATTTATTCTAGCATTTCATCACTAATAATATTTACTACTGTTGGTGCAAGGTAAAGGGAACTTGCTTATAGCATGTACATTGAGCTTTACATAAAGTTTCTTTTGACCCTTTTTGGAGTCTAGAATGTGACAGAACCTCTAAGTGAAAGTGACCCTGTTCTGGTCTCAGAATCATTCAACTAATTGTAAGTCCTTGACAGAGATGAAACTTGATCCTTTAGTACACAATTTCTCTTCTTTTAATCCACACATGATGATGTGTTACCATATTTCATGTGCAGATTTTAATTTCATTTATGTGGGTGCTCTGTTGTTTTTTTTTTCCTTTGCATCCCAGCAGCATTAAAAGGGAGGAACTAGTGAGATAAATTTAAATCATTTGGGGGGACACAAAGGGAGGCAGAACTCACTGCCTGTCTTTAAGGAGCACAGGTCTGGCCATGACTAGATTGCCTGATACTACTTATGAATATTGAGATTCAGCAGTAACCGATAACTATTCTAAAAAAAAAAATGATAGTTAAATAGGATTCTGAAACTATGTTTCATAATACAGAATGATGTGAGAATTAAACAACTGGACAGAGAGGAAATCTAGCCCATTATTGTTTTGCACTCATTTTCTACCTTACTATCTGCTTGCTTTAGCAACTCGGAGCAGTAACACAATAATACTAGGCAATATGGTTACAACTCAGCTCCCTCTTACTGACCCCTGTCATAATTATTTTTGGAAAAATATTCAAACTGTTCCTTTAAGGCTAAGAGAATGCACCAAAACACAGATGTGAAAAATAATAATTTAAATAAATGTCAGTTGTTACTTTTTTTTTTTTTTTTTTTTTTTTTTTGGTCATGCATGCTTTTGAGACTCCCTCGTCCCACCCACCCTAACTACTCATAAACAATTGGATTTTTTTTTTCTTTTTGAAAAAAGGTAGATAATTTGTGACTAATGATGTTGTGTTTTACTGCAAATTAAGGAAACATTTGGATGCCAGTCAGTATGCTCATAACTGGCTGTGTGTGAATTTCTGCTGGCATCAGCTTGACTTCTCTTCCTGCTTACTGGTTTGGTTCTCTGTTTGTATGAGTAACCATGTCCCATGTACCTGCCCTGGGATGAAATGGAATCTAGATGGAAATAAAGAGTTGTGTAGTGTCCCTAAAAAGACAGTACTAATACACTCTCCTTTTCTAAATTCACCTTTTGGGGAACCTGTTATATTGAAGAAACTTAATGTTTGTGAGAGTGTATTTGCTGTAAGTGTATACCTACCCTTTCTTAGCTTCATAATAGAAGGAACAGATAGAGGTTAAGATAGATCAGGATGTGGCAGGGATAAGTAAGGACAAGGTCAGTTCAAATGTTTATGTTAGAAAGAAATGTTTGTGGGCACAGTGCTTTGGGAAACTCTGGATGGTTATATTTGCATGCCTTTTCTTCCCTAAAGGAAATATACAAGTGGTAGCACCTAAAAATAAATATGAGGGTCAGACACCATTTAAGTCAAGATTTACATAACAATTGTGTGCCCAGTTTATTTAGGTGAGATTTCACTTTACAGAGAGTATTTGAGGGGCAGAAAAATGGGTTAGCCACTGTATTTTCTAGTTTTACAAAAATTCAGAAATTCATCACATTGCTTTGTCCTAATTTTGCCCCAAATTTTATCTCCAGCTCCTGTTGGAAAAGTGGCTGCTTCTCCCTAATACTGGTAAATCACTTTTTAAATGCCATTCCCATTGGACTTTTTAAAAACAGTGAGGGGGACTGGTAGGCAGGTTGGAAGAAAGTTTGAGATTTTTGAACTTCTCATTGATAATTTCCTGGTGGAACAATATGAGAAAATAAAAGCCTAGCATTTCTATTTGAATGCAATGTAGGAAGTGTCTCTCCTACATATATTCAATTTAAGAACACATCATAGTGTATATGTGTGTGTGTACACACTCTTTCAAAGAAAATGCACGGAAAGAAGCAATTAGAGTAATCAGATGTATGACAAGAGCATATTAATGTTGTAATTAATTCCTGAGCAATTTACTAGGCCTACTTTACCAAGACTGTATTAAGAAATATTAAAGAAGTTTCTAGTGTCTTTAGAACTGTTCACAAACTGAGTCTTCTCTATCTACCTACAAGAACAAATGAAAAACAAAAACAAAATAAAAAGACTTTAAAGCTGATTTGATAAAACCTCCAAAGTGAAAGAAATACAAATTACCTTTGAATAGAAAAGAAAAAAGTTCATAGTTTTTCTTGCTGGTACATGGAGAAAGCCAAGGTTTTTTTAGTGAACTTACATTTTTACTCATTCTGTGTCTAAGTTGTACACCTCTCAAAACCACATAGCCTTTATGTTTTATGAATGTTTGATAAAATTTACATCAGTGAGAAGCATTTAGATGAAAATTTTGCTTTACTTATTTTCTGAATCTTATTTCTTTCAACCTTCTAAATAATTCCTTAAGGTGGAAAAAAAGAATTTTAAAAAGCTGCAAATACACAGATTAAAAAAATATTCTCTTGCCCCAAGTTTTAAGACAGAACTTAGATTTTTAAGAGGTACTGGCTACATTATTTTTTGAATTTTGGATTGTTCATATTATAAGAAGGAATGAGTTATACTATGGTCATACTTAGTTATATTTTATATATTATTTTAGTAAGTACTATCTGTATGAAAATTGTTCTTAAAACAAATTTCCCCTAATCCAAAAGAAAAAGTGGGGGTGAAATTGACATTTGTATATAATGAATTTATCTTAGGAATGTTTTTAAACCTCCAGTTTCTGCAAAATAATTAAAATATACAGTAACTGGTCTCTAAAAATATTGAATTTAATGTATTAAATACTTATAAACTTTCTTTATATTGGTGCCTTTTTAAAATGCATTGAGAGTGTTGGTTAGCTGTCAACACTTTATGTATTTTTAAAAACCACTTAAAATTGAGTACTATATAATTCATCCTCATTTTCTTAGGGCAAAACTGTTAATTTCCAATACAGAGACTTTCAGCTTAGCTGGTTAAAGAAAAAAGAAACTTTAAAAACAGATTTTTAGTATCATTTTAGTTTGATCCTATCAGTAACATTATAAGATGATGCAGATCAAATGTGAGGTAGAAGGAAATTTTAGCTGTGAATTGCATTATGATGTTTTGCTTTTAGGGAAGAATAAGTTCTAATACCATGCAAGGCTTTATTAGTGGAAGTTTTGGTCAATAAAATGCAGTATTATTTTGGAATTTCATCTATAGACTAGTGTCATGCTAGTCTTAGAACCTCTGTCTTCTAATCTGTTAATGTTTTTTGGAATAATGTAAAGAAGCAGGTCTCCTTCTTGAACGAAACAAAACTCAACAGTCATATCACATTGCTATTCTCCAAAGCATAATCTGAAATGGTTTCCTACCATGGTTGTGTATTACTTGCGATGGATGTGTTAGGATATGACAGCTTTTAAAAAGAAAATAAGAGCTGCTTGTTATACAAAGCAAATGTCATATGACCAAGAAGCTGTGATATGCTAGTGTTTCTTTTTATCATAGTATATTGCTAGGCCAAATAATTACACCTTGAATATTTTTACATTTATTGCAGAAACCTAAAATTTTGGAATTTCCACAAGGTTTTTATGTAACATTCTATTTCTAGCTTTTTAGTTTTCTCTTGCTGTTACTGTAAGTTTGTGGATATTTTTCACATGCACTCTTAGAAATAAGTTCTTAATTCCATTTATGGGGTTTTTCCTCCCATAACATTGCATTTGTATATTTTATGTATAAATTTGTTGTGAATTAACCTTAATCCTTACAGAGAGTGGTACTTGGATGACTAGTTTTCTAAGATGTTCTTTTTATTGTGAATAAAATATAAAATGTAGAGGCCCTCTGCTAAGCCACATAAAGTACAGCATATAACTTCATA